AAAAAAAAGAAAAAAAAAAAAGAGATGTCATGTGACAAAATGGGCATAATAGCTGCTATTATTGTGCCTAAAAAAAGTTGTTGTCTTTATATAAAGGGGTATTTGATTTTTAAATAAAAATAAAAATAAAAATCTATGCGTGTGAGCAATTTGGAAAGGAAAAATCTTATTCCGATTCACTTGCCAAATCCCACCTCCCATATCAGGAATCAAATTTCCTCCATATCATGAATTAGGAATCAAATTTTATGTGCGCCTTGTGTTCTTTTCATTCCCAATGTGTAAGTAAATAAAGGAATCATCCGAAATGGGAATGACTCCCACTCTTTCCATTTCCACATTCCAGTTATATAAACATGCAGATTTTTTAAAGTGAGTGACATGAAGGGTAATTTGGACATTTCAACACTGAATTTGTAACTAGTCTAAACCAACACGTGTGACTTGCAATCGTTTTATTTCAAGCAAAAAGAATAAAAATTCGAAAGCTAGCTCTTTTTTGTGGTTACACCACAGTAGAGTTTAACTACCAAATTTGGGATGGATTGGTGTGGTGTGGTTCCTATACGGAAAAGAATTCTCCATATATAATGTCCACGAACAATTGCTCTTGGAGCTGGAGTGGCTAAATACAAAAAAGGTACTGTTAATAATCATGCACGTACTGAAATCACAATAACCGTCAAACAAGTGGAGAATGTTGGGTTGGACCAAAAAGATTTCCCTAATTTTTTTGGGAAATAGCGGTATATACCCCCAATTTTATAATCTTAACTAAAAATACCACCTCCCCCCCCTCCCCCCAATATTTGTACAACTATCACCTATAAATATAAAATTATTGTCCACTTATTGCTGAATTTTCACAACTTCAGAAATTTTGTTCTCTCTTAGGTCACTCAGCTCTCTCTCTCTCTCTGGCACAGCTCTCTTTCTGTTTGGTTTCTGTCTAAAGCAGCTCGCTGTGTCTCTCTTGGCTCTCTCTCTCTTGGCTCTCTCTGTGTCTAGCGCAACTCTGTGTCTCTCTCTTTGCTCTCTTTCTCATAGCGCAGCTCTTTCTCTCTCTAGCTTCGTTATGTATCTTTCTCCCTCTATTCGGTCTCTTGCTCTCTGTTTGGAATCGCGAACCCCTCCCTTTAGGTATGTCTTCTGAATAGCTGCTTGCAACCTTGAAGCTTTAGTGGATTGCCGACCTCGAAAAGGTAGTGTTGATGGTTATTTTCTTAAAATTAGTGGGATTATGTGAAATGGGTTATATTTTGATTGTTTGGGTTTGTGTTAAATTC